AAATAAATAAATAAATAAATAAATAAATAAATAAATGTTTTTACCTTGTTGATGTGGGTAATAGACTCCTTTAGGAAAATAAAAATAAACATAGGTTAAGTTTTCATAGAAAATTTTTATTTGCCAATATGAAACAGAAAATGAAGGCATTTAAAAGGTTAATGTGGGTTTCTTGCTTGCTAGCATCATTAAAAACACAGCATAATTACTGAAACTTATATGGTGCTCTGTTCTGCACAAGTCTGTTCTATACACAAGACAGATAAATGCAGTCAAGAAAGAAAAGAAAGTTAGTGAACATAGTACAACAAAAAGCATTTAGTAAACTCTAATTTTCCTTCTCACTATGTTCCCTTCCTATGACAACAAATGATCTCTAAGACACCATCTGATTCTAAAAGAATAAAATTCATTAATAAGAAATTATAATAAAGTGTTAATACATTCTGTTCATTATTCTTAGTTCATTTGTTATGTTCAGATTTCAAATGAATTGTAAGAACTAAATACTTTCCCTATGATAACCTTTGTGAAGAGATAAAATATACCTAGGTACCAATTAGCAGGTGACAAACCCCAAAAGTGATGCAAGTGTAAATATCTGCCTGACTCTCCCAGGCATATTTAAGACTAAAACTAAGTCTCACTGCTTCTGATTTATTAAAGTGACTCCTGTAATGACAAAATATGTCCATTTGCATGTCTGCCCACCCCATATATTGCCATTCTTTCCGATGGGCATCTGCTTTTCAGTTTGTACCACAGCTCTTAGTCAATGTGTGATCCACAGAGGTGCTCAATGAATATCAAAACAGTGAATGGGGTCAGTGTGGAGAGAGCTCTAGTCATATAAAAGGAGTGTAGCATTCACTTAAAGAAGGGGGTGGGGCAAGTGACAACATTTCAAGTAGCAGCTAGCATAGAGAATAGGGAATTCTGTAGACATTTATTTTGTCCTTAAACATATAATGGAAATTTACATCAAAACTTGTATGTCAGAACTAGCCTCATTGACTTAAGTGCCCCAAAATAACACAATATAAAGAGTTGCTAGCATTTTACTGTCCGAAATGGAAAATTCCCTCAGAATGAATATTGTCTTACCTCACTGCTAGAAATGCTTTCTATAGTCTGTAAAGAAAAATACAAAATCAACAACTGGATCATCAAAGACTGTTACTTTTTTTAAAGAAATGTTTTATTGGTATTATTATTATTAATCTTCACCCGCCAAGGATATTCCATTAATTTTTAAAGAGCATAGGAGAGAGAGGGAAAGACAGAGAGAAACATCGATGTGAGAGGAACACATTGATTGGCTGCCTCCTGCACACGCCCTGACCAGTGCCCAAGCAAGGGAGGAGCCTGCAACTAAGGTATTGCCTTTGACAGGATTCAAACCCAGAACCTTTTGGTCCACGGTCAATGCTCTATCCACTGAGCAAAATTGGCCGGGGCTTTTATTGATTTGAGAGAGAGAGAGAGAGAGGAAGTGGAGGAGAAAGGGAGAGAAGAGGTGAGAGAGAAGCATCTATTCGTTGCCTTTGTCTACTGCAACCTGCAACCTTTTGGTGTATGGGAAGCTGCAACCAACTGATCACGCCCTCCAGGGAAGAATGCTACTAAGGCTGGTTAGAAAAATTTTCTCTGAACAAAATATCTTACCTCTCTGGATACACTGATTTGTTCCTTCTGTGAAGAAAAAAATCACCATTTAGTTTCAATAGCTATCTTATTTTTCCTACTGACTTTTTACCTTCTTTATACAGAACTATCTCCTTCACAAATTTAAGAAATAAAAAATGTATGTCTTTTGAGAGCCTTAAAAGGTAATTGTGTTTTATGACTTTTATATTTGATAATTCTAATGGTATATTCTTATTTTACCTAAATGAAGAACAATTTTTGATGGGTAACAGAATGAGAGTTATTTGAATTTTATCACTTTTTATTCTGATTACAAATATGTTTATGATGATTATTATTGCCTGGTTTTCCACCCTCTGGATTTCTTCGGGTAGACACAGGTAGGATTTGGCCCATGCCCTAAGCTTCATCATCAGTTTCCTCACTGTAATAAGATATATTTATCTAGGTTGCACATGCAAGCAAGATACATTTTGTGCAATATTACTTTTTTTTTTTGATGTTTGTGTCTTCTTGTTTTGTCTGTGGCTTATTTGTTTGTTTTTTTGTTTTCTGATAGGAGAGTTGTGTAGAAAGCATTTAAGCCAGATTTCAGGCCTATAGGACACTATTGAAATAGTGAGGGAATATAAATGATTTTCTTCTTTTAAAAAAAAAAATATTTCTTTATTGATTTCAGAGAGGAAGGGAGAGGGAGAGAGAGCTAGAAACATCAATGATGAGAGAGAACCATTAATCGGCTGCCTCCTGCACGTGCCCTACTAGGGATCAAGCCCACAACTTGGGCATGTTCCCTTGGCCAGAATCGAACCTGGGACCCTTCAGTCCACAGGCCGATGATCTATCCACTGAGCCAAACTGGCCAGGGCATGATTTTCTTAAAAGTATAGAAAACAACTGTTGAAATTCTGCTTTATTTGTAAATTTTAAGTATAGGTAATGTTATTTACACATGAAAAAAGAAATCACTGTAAGTTAATCATTCATAGATTTTCTTACCTCCTTTGCAAAAGCAAAGGCCACCAGGCAGGCAAGGATGAGCACCTTCATGGCTTTCAAGTCCTGTGAATGAGAAAATGGTATTATGGTTGTCAATCTAATATATTTTCTTAATTCGGTAGGGTTCTTTTTCTTTTAAGGAAAGATAATTGTCTTAATTTTAGAAAAAATAATAATAGAAGTTTATTATATAACCAAAGTCAATATCTTCTATGGCCTTTTAGTGTTACATATCAACTTTATACTTCATTTTCAGCCATTCAAACTTTTCAACTATCACTTCTACCCTACCTCAATCCTTTTCATCTTATTCACAGTACCATATGTTGGTTTTTTTCTGAAGACAGAAAGAAGTTTTAAATATTTATATGAATTTTATTAATTGATTCATTTAAAATTAATAATATTTATTTAACACCCTTTATTGCCTGATGCTGTCCAGGGTGTGGGTTTACAGCAGTGAACTAAATAGTAAAGTCTCCACACTGATGTATCCTCAGACTTATTTAACAGACTGATTAAAGACTGACAGAAGATCATTTTTATTTTACCTTTTTTTACTAAACAGTTTTCTAAATATCTGTTTTAATCATAGTTTCTTATCCTATATAATAAAAGGCTAATATGCAAATTGACCACAAGGTGGAATGACTGGTCACTATGATGCACATTGACCACCTGGGGGTAGATGCTCAATGCAGGAGCTTTCCCCTGATGGGCAGTGTGCTCCCACAAGGGAGCGCCGCTCAGCCAGAAGCCCTGAGCTGGGCTCATGGAGGTGGGAGCCGCTCCCGC